ATATTTGGGTGATCCATTTAAGCCTAGTTGTTTATTTTGTCTGTAGACATTAGTCTTAGGCCTACACTTTTTCTGAATTAAGATTATTGTGTTTATAAAAATAGTTTTAAATTTTAATTAGTTACATTTGAATACCACATGGTTTTTTTTTCTTTGCCTTCTGCTTTCATCAGTTTTTGCTTTGTTCAATAGTCGATGTTTACCCCTCCCCATCATCCATTATTACAAAAACAAAAAACACCCACTATATAGTGACAAAAAAACTAGAACAAAAAACTAGATCGACCTATAGTTCGTAGGAAAATTAGATTCTATCACTTATTCGTCTGTTAAAAAAAATAAATACGTCATTTTTCTCAACCCTGACTTGGCACAACGTCACCAAGTTCTTGGCGGGCGTGACGTCATTTGTCATTAGGCTAATGTTAAAGAAAGAGATACAGCGTAATTTTTAAAAAATCAAAACAGTCACTATGGAGTTGAGACTAGCGACTTTTAGTTTTAGCCTGACGAATAGATCTAAATGACTTTAGTTAGGTAAATTATATTAGTGTTTAATTTATTACACAGTGGTATGCGGTGCTCCCTCTACTATACAAATTCACGTGCTTTTAATTTCTGCAACCTGCTGCCCTGAGACGTTCGGCTGTAAAATGCCAGTGACACAGCGGCCTCCGTATATGCATTTAGGCTCCCAGTCCCACCTATACACTTTGTCTGCCGATTAAGCTCCACGCAAAACTTGTGATTGATATGTGGACATAAGTGGTGCTAGTGGTGGGGTCAAAAGGGAACCCCCCCCTCCCCAAGCTCAGCTCTTAAAGGTGCTCCGCACTTCATAAAAGACAAACTAGATGTTCAGACATCCTCGGACTCTGGCGTTTAGCCGACGGCCGTATTCCTAATGCACCGTCCACTGCTAACGCTATTTCTATATTAAACTCAAGCCTATACTGAGCTCTGGCTTTTTACATTAGCTGCTGTCGTATTAAGGGTTGATCTTTTGTTATGCCCCATGTCGTGAAACTTGCTGTTTTTTCCAATTTTACCTGCAAGCCAATAATTGTCGGATTCTTGTCGAATATCGTTGCCAGGAGCTAGTTGGTTTGAGCCTTATTGTCAGAAGTTATTTCATTTGGAGTCAATGTAGTGCGGCCTATTTTCGTCGGTAGGCATTTAGTGGCACGCCCTTTTTGGCGGGGATGGTGTGCTGAGGTTGTTTAACACCCCTTAGGACAACAGGCATGCAATAGTTATGATCATTCGTTATGAACAAATGTAGTATGCATGAAAACGAACGCTTTATGTTCCTCATTTTCATTGAGCACAGCTTTATAGAAGTCTTCCATAATTGATGTCACTCACCCCCCCCCCCCCCCCCGATCACCCCTTCATTATAGGTCATAAATTGCAGCCCTGCATAAATTCATGTCACATTAGAATAGCATATGTGACATTGTTTATGGACAACCCTTATAACTCATTTTGGGTATTTGGTATCAACATTTTGACAACAAAGGTTGTTCAAAATGTGTATTGGAGGTTAGGACTTGACATCTACCATAAATGACATCACGCACTTAAGGGGTGGAGTAACTAATTTTGAGACGACATTTTACGCGGGAAAGGGGAGGGGTAAGAAACGTGAAACGTTAAGTATTACGCCTATTACAAAAATGCTGACAAAATTCTTTTTCTTTTGAATTATGGCAGGGCAAAAAAGTAATTTTCGACATTATGACTATTTCGTGACGGCGAAAATGGGGGGAGGGGGGTAGAGTCATTTAGATCTATTCGTCAGGCTAAACGTCGCTAAAGTCTCAATGACATAGTGCCTGTTTTGATTTTTTTTTTTATTATGCGGTATCTCTTTCTTTAACATTAGCCTAACGACAAATGACGTCATGCGCGCAGCGAACTTTGTGAGGTTGTGCTTAGTGTGGGATTAAATGGCGGGGTTGAGAATAATGACGCCTTTTTTTAAACAGAAGAATCTAATTTTCCTTCGAACTATAGGTTGATCTAGTGTTTTCCAAGAGGGAGATATCACTATATATATGGATCTCCCATAAATTGAAATTGAATTATAGTGTAATTAAAATACTAGACTTAACAGTTCATTCCGTAAAAACAAAAACTAGTTGTTTCAGTCTCTGAGTCTGGCAACTGACGTCATGATACTAAAAATAGCGGATAGAAATGTCAGCGTGGGTACCTCATTTTGGAATAAGATTTTGGAAAGCAGAATCGATAATACTGAATTTTATACATGGTAAATATCTCAATTATATATTAATTTAGTGTTATCAGAGCCGTTTTCCCCATTATCGGTCGTTTTTGGCCGCGGTTCAGTTTTTACTTACGGAGAGTGCTCCACTAGAAATCCTCTCATTATTTACAAACACAATTCTCGCGATTTTTTCTGGCATTCTAAGGCATATGATCCATTTTATTAGCATCTTGTGTTAAAATAATGATGAGAATTATCGAGATAAACATTTCTCTAATTTGTCGTGGATAGGACCCCTACAATAAATGTAAAAACCGTCAAAACGACGTGCGACGTTTCAGGGTCAGAGGTCAATCCAGCCATCTAAGCAACGAGCCGGCCTACTAAGTTAATATCCACTCTCTAAATAGTAAATATTTAATACATAAAAGTATTAACAAATATCACGTGACTTTTTTTCCTGTGACTTTTTTCTGAGTTTTTTTTCCTGTGTTTTTTTTTTCCTGTGACTTTTTTCCTACAATCACGCTCAACCGGAGAAAAATACACTAAAATTTAAAATGGAATTTAACCGCGGAGTATTACGGTACTTTCTTTTTTTTTTCTATGTCAAATAGTTACGGAATCAGACCAAATTGAAATCGGGACTTACTTTTTTTTGCTATGTGACACTAGATCTGATCTTACCCTAGATAGGCCCTATGTGAGTTTCACAGATCGTAAGTCATGTTGTTAGTGAAGCTTTGGTGTTAGTCGAACTCTTCTTTTAGATAAAATTAGAATCTAGATCTAGTAATGGTTTAAATTCCAAAACATTTGATTTATTAAATAAAAATATATACACCTTACTTTTCAGTTTTCAAATACCTGTTTAATTTTATTTCCCCTCATAATAATATAATACTAGAATCTCTAATGCTAATATCTAGATATATTGTGACATTGTAGTCTGATACTACTAGATCTAGATCAAGATCTTAGTATTCCAATAATATTTCCTCGTACAAAAAACCTATTATTGAAAAGGTCTAAAGCTCAAAAATATTTTATTAGCTATTACCACTAAAATTATGGCAAAATACTTCAAAATAGTTTTATAATTGCTGCAAATAAAAGAAGAAGAAAAAAAAACATTTATTTTAATTATTTTGGTCGCTGTTTGGGGTCTCTCTTTCTTCAATGTCTACTCTCCCCCTCCCCCCCACACACATTTGTGACACTCTAGTTATATCAGCGTATAAGTTATACATTACAGAACCTAAAAAATATAATCTATATTTTAATTACAAATTTGAGTAAAATAATTGCAAAAAGCCAGTGTTATTAAAAAGTACCTTTTAAAAAATATGTATGAAGTATCTGTAAAAACATTCAACTTTCTAATATATCTCCCCCCCCCCCCCCCCATTTACCCTTAATCACCAATTTCTCAAAGCACTCCACTTCTCATATGGTGTTCCTCATTTGTGGATGATCCCCCAATATTAAAATATTATATATCCTTTATTAATATTTTGTATGTAATGTTTACACATTTTTTGAGTATAAAATTAAAGAAAATGAAAAGTAATTACACTAAGCTTTAGTTGAACCTCAGCATATTTAAAATGTAGTTGATTTGTAAAATGGGAAAGAATTTTTTTATTATTTTCAGTTAATAAGGGATTATAGTAAAGGAAAAGCAGAAAACTGAGTTAAAAAATTGTAGTCAGATTGTGTAAATTTTAGAAATGTAACCTTTTAATGATATATACTTTTTATCTTACAGGAATACTATATTCAAAATTGACTTTCTAAAATATGAACTGTACATGGATGTTATTTTTTTACAAATTTTAATGTTCATATCTTAATCTGACCAGATGAGATAAAACAAAATGCTTTTTTTAGTTTGATATTTTTGTATTAGATGAGGAGGCGGCATATATCCTATTTCATTAAACAGAATAGCCTACTATAACAAAATAGATTAACATACTAAAACTAGCTCAAAAGTGGGCCTACTGTGCAAGCTATTCTAAAAACACCTTTATTTATGATTAAATGTGTCTCAAATTATGTAAGCATTACCGTTATAATGGTGGAAATTCTTTCAGGTTTGTTTTTTTTTTTTGCATATAAGTGTAAAATAATACTATTCAATTGTGTTTTCAATTATATATATATTATTAGTTATAAAAATGAATTTAAAGATTATTAAAAAAAGAACCAGTAAGAATTAGTAACTGAAGGATAAATTACTAGGTGGCAACTAGGCCTACCACTGACTCGTGTCATTATGTTCATAAATGTTGTTTATGAATCTATTATGGATCTAATTTAGGTTCCCATATTAATAGAAATCATAAATGGGGACTGCAAATTTTTTCTAATCTTATGAAGGTTACAAGTCTAAAAGTAAAAAAACAAACCATAATTACTTATTTTGAACCTGATGATCCATGGTGCATAATAGATTGATCTCAGCTGCCTTTACTTTCCCTAACATGAGTTATATACCCATCAGAGCTGCATGGACTTGAAGACGTTCTACTGTCTTGAACCCTGGATTCTGATTCAAGACTTTCAGGTTTGCAGCCTACAGCTCTACCCCTAGGCCACAAGATCCCCTTATGGCTGAAATATTTAATCTCTGATGGTGTTATAATTGACCTTACTATTTCAAATCTTTAAAATTGTATCTTTAGTTGAGTTGGATCTTTTTATTCATGTTGTCAAACAAAACTTCACACAGCAAATTTATTTTTAAAATATTAAAAAAAGCAAAAAGTAAATTGAAAAATAATTTATTGAATAGTTTTGGGATTGTTGTTTTTCTGTAGGTCTGAATACAACGTTTATTTTTAGAGTACAATACTTCATGCATAATGTAAAGTAAAATAACTACAGCCACGTAAGTCCACTAATGCTTCCACCAGTTACTACTGATCCACTATGAACATGTGTGGTCCACCATCCATTCTTCTTTTCAAGCACATACACTGGCGCACCACTGCAGCCGTTGCAAGTTGGTGCATCATAGGTGTACCTGGTATCTTCATTTGGTAATTTTTCTCTTGTTAGTATTTTACCAATGGAGACATGTTTGGCACACCCATGAGGATGTGAAACTAAAATAATTAAACTTTTATCAGGTCCATGTTTAAATTTTTCATAAACTTGAGCGCAATGGGAAGTATAGAGGTCTATGGTGCCCTTCAGCTTCTTCAATAGATCAACATCATGGGTAACACATTCAAATAAACACATATCATTCATCAGAGTTGCTTTCCTTATGTCAACCCCTTCTAGATTCGCAACTTTACAGCTCTCTGTATTATGACCCCAAATACAAGTTGTGTTCTCAGCTTCGAATTTATCAAAAACCACATGCATGGCTGTAAGAATAAAAACTTTACCCCATATCTTGGTAATAATTTGATCATTTTTACATTTTTTACAATGACAATTTTCATCCCCATCATCTGGATAAATACTGATGGTATGTATCTTGCCTGTCCCCGTCCTGGTCATATCAGGAGCAATATTACTATATCGAGGATAAGGTTTGCCATTGTGATTTTCAGGTCGGGATTCGCTAGCACCTAATACATTTATGTTGACTGTGAGATAACTCAAACATCGAATAACGCTGATGATGTCAGGATCTTTAAAATTGTCTGGTAGATGATCGACTCTTAGAGTGCTGATCGGTATGAAGTCATTGTGGTCTGGTCTCTTCTTACATTTCTTCCAGCACTGTTGAAAAATTGATAAACTCTTTCCACCTTCAAAGCTCACTTCTACTTCATAGTCACCTTTTCAGAAATGTAAAAATGTATAAATAATTGTTTAAATCTTTTATTAACTTAACATTGGTTAATTAGTGCACAAAGAGCTTTTATTTATGGTTCTTTAGTTAAATGTGATAAGAAGACATAGTCAGATGGTAGGGCTTATGACTGCTAACCCAAAAGTCTCGAGTTTGAAAACAGGGCTTGAGTCTGTAGAAGAACTCTGTCCACCAATTGCTGATGAGTACCTGACTCACATTAAAGAAACAATGGTGGATGGGCATAGGGCACACCACACTATCCCCCCTGTATGCAGAGGTTATTGAAACAGATGAACTCCTCTTAATCTGCCCCATGTATCTTGGGCATGAACAGGAAATGATGATGAGGTTAAATATGATTACAATTAGAGTAAACAATATTGTGATTTGTTTCATTTCTATTTTTAAAAATCAGACTAGATTTAGATAACAATAAACAATATACTCTTAGTAATATTAATGAGCAAAGTTTTGGGTAAAAAAAAGGTTTTCAAAAATCTGCTTTTAAAAAATTCAGATTCTAGGCCTCTTTATTAAAATTATGCTTTGAATAATGATAAAAAAATATTAAACCGTATATTTTATTACCTGGATTTCCTTTGACAATGTAAGTGTTATTACAATACAATAATATTTTACTACTGAATACTTGTAATTTTATATTAAGGGGGAGAGTAAATATTATAGAGAACACAAGTTGAGGTGGTTTGTTAATGGGTAGATGGAAATATAGAGCAATATTAAATAAGACTGACTTTGAACTTTTTTGTACATATTTTCACTAAGTTATCACATTAAAATTTTCCCTTTTCTACCTTGTTCTTCCATGGCTTTCTCTGTCAACTTGGTAATTTCTTCTTCTGATGGCCTTTCCGTAACAACTAAAAACATGTAATTTTTAAACAGTAATTTTTTTCCCATCGACCTGATAGCAAAAAGTAATTTTAAAAAAATTTTGTTGGCCGTGTTCAAGTACATAAGACTTAATTTTAAATTAAATTTTAAATTTTTTTTATGCATGATGAATTCTTAACACAATAATTATAATAATATTCCTATCAGGGTTATAACTTTAAAACAAACCTTAACACTTCTGTTAAGTTTGATGTTATTATAGGATCATATTAATAGAACTTTTTATAGAAATGTTTTACAGTTTTGATCTGGTTCCAATACACTTAATATCCATATAATCTGTTATAATTCTGTTATGTTTAGTAGGGGTTTGGCAGTTTGATTATATATATATATATATATATATATATATATATATATATATATATATATATATATATATATATATAGGATACAATTATAAATGGTTTTAGATCTGAGTACCACCACCTTTGGCAACACTTAATTCAAGCTTTCATTTTTATTCTTGAGGTATTTTGGTTTTAAAATCTCAATTAAAATTTTTTGAGCTCATTTTCTAATAACAGAATATAAAATATAAATGAAATATCATAATATTTTTCTACACTTTGTTTTAAGTATGGTTCTCTTACCATTTTCTCCAATATTTTCAATCTCCCTTGTAGCCATTTTCAAAGTTCATAACTGTTGAGATTTGTATTTCAAAGTCAATCAATGAAATATTTATTACAATAATTTGCTTTGCATGACAAGTAAACAGTTACTTACATGTTTATTTAAATGAATACAAATAAGTTCATAATTTGATAAACAAAATCATGTTAAGGTGAATGTACAAGTTTTTGATTTTGTAAACAAATTTAAGTCACTTTGACACTGGGAATGGCATGGATGAGAGGTAAATTGAATGTTTACAAACCTGACAGTTCCAGGTTTGATTCATCTGCTCAGGACTATTGGACATCTCAACATTATCTAAATGGGGGTCTGATTTGAGTCAAGGAAAGCAAAGGCAGTTGGGCATAGAGACTGTTTGACAACACTGTTTTGTTCTGAAAAACAGAAGAACTTTCCTTCAAGATTTATATTTTTTTACTTAACACTTTTTAAAAGGAATCAACTTTAATTATATAAAATTTATTTTGCTCAAAATGTATTATACAGTTGACTTAGTCCATATTTTGCAACTATTTTCTGAGTAATGAGGTTTGCTTCGATTCAATTTTAAAAAACTAGATTTACATGGTGTGGTTAAGGGGGGATGGGAGGAATGTTCCCTTAAATTAAAATAAAAGTTGCTTTTTTCCCTAACAAAATGACAAAAAGGCATATGTGAATATCAATATGCAACTATAAAAATGTATTAACACTAAAAATGAAAATCTAATTAAAGATTAAGGACTTTGTGAGAGTAAAATAAAAACTTAACTCATTATTACTAATAATTTATTAGGCCTACTTCTTAGACTTAGAGAGGCCTACTAATGTAGGACATCTAGGTTAGTATTATTAGGCCTAATATTAATAATATTTTATATTAAAGTATAATTATAGGCCTACTTCATTTGTCTCTACTCTCTAGGACTCTAGGATGATGAGTCAAGAATGTTATTTTTTTTTATTTTCAAGTAATCTAGGTCTAGACCAGACCAGAGAGACCTAGAATCTAGTCTAGATCTAGAGACTAGAATCTAGATATCTAGAGAGTTTTTAGAGACGCAGAGAGAGATCTACAAAAATTCTACATTACATCTACTAAATTATAGGTTTTTATATTTCACATGATACAATGTGTAAATTATGTGTTTACGTGTCTTAATTATACGTATGTTTTTAAGTTTCATATAACTAAATCTAGATTTAAGCATTATGCAGAGGCAGCAGAGGTCAAAGTCAATATTCAATATTTCAAAGTAATAAACGTGCCTACTTGCAGTCCAAGTTGGACTGTGCTATGACATGTCGTATAGGAAATTCCCGGTATTACTACACTATAAATTAGCTTATTACTAAGCCTAGTATTAATTTTTTTTACTGCTAACGTGATTTTTAAAAAATATATTTTTAAAAATTGACAAAAAACAACAATAAAAGCAGTAGACTACATAATTTATAAAAGCATTAAAAAAATAATTGGATTCAGAGTTGTCGATCTTCAGCAAAGGGTAAAACCTTAGTTTAGCGTCGGAAATTATCTGGTCATGTTTGTTGAGTTTCGGTAACTAGAGTTACGGTAAACCATGGTTTATTTGACCATTGAAATATAAATAAATTGAAAGTCGATTGTAGTAAATTAATGTTTTAATTTTTTAAGTTTAATCGACAAAAGGAAACAAGAATAAATATAATAGTAGATTTAAATTAGTAGATCTAAAAATAAAATAAAAACATATATTAATATAAATATAAATGATGAAGTCAAGTGTAATAATTTAATGTTTTTGGCTTGCAGCGGATTAGCCACCATTAATTAATTAGATCTAGATCTAGATCTAGCTAGCTGCTAGGCCAAGTAAAAAAATCTAGATTACGAAAATAGTCAAAATTATTACAAAGATATAAAAATGATTACAAAAAGAGTAAAAGTGACTAGAAACGGGGTTCGTACCCTATTTTGAAAATGAAATCAGACCTTTGTAACCACACCATTATTCGTGCTTTTGGCTGAGAAACGTTTGTCTGTTATTAAAAACTACCGGTATCCCCCCCCACACACACACACAACAAGAGACGGTGGAGGGGTCACTGTGAGGCCACAGTAGCCCAGTGTAATACGTCATATCATGAACTGCACCGTAACTTTTATCCCCCCCCCTCCTCCCTCTCCTAGCCAAACAGCACCATCTACCAGTGGCGTAGGCAGGGGGGGGGTTAGGGGGGGGGGGGTCATAACCCCCCCCCCCCCCCATAGACCCCTCGGTATATAGAAAAAGTATGAGGGGGGTGCAAATCGAAAGTTTGAGGAGGGTGCAAATCGAAAGTTTGAGGGGGGGGGTGCAAATCGAAAGTTTGTCCCCGGGTAAAAATTGGAACCCCCCCCCCCCCCCCAGAGACGATCCTGGCTACGCCACTGCCATCTACGTACCATCTACCTCCAGACTTTTTAAACTCAAGGCTTTTTCCAGACTGCGTACGAACCCTGTTAAACAATGTTCAGTAGCAGAAATATTTAGCTGAAACACTTAAAAATAACTAGTTATACAAAATGAGTAATAAAGCAGTATTAAACACGCAATTAAAATAAATCTATCCACATTTTAAACGTTCTGTATTAAAAATAAAAGATGACGCCAAATAAAGTATGGTTTACAGTACTTCCGGTGGATACTGGAACTGTGTGACAGACTTTGCCATTGTTTTACTGTTTTTTACTAGATATCTACTAGTCTACATCTAAATCCTAGAAGATCTAGATCTAGTTGTCGCAAATCTTCTGGGTAAAACCTTAGTTTAGCGTCGGAAATTATCGGGTAATGTTTGATGAGTTTTGGTAACTAAAGTTACAGTAAACCATGGTTTATTTGACCATTGAAATATAAATAAATTGAAAGTCGATTGTAGTAAATTAATGTTTTAACTTTTTAAGTTTAATCGACAAAAGAAAACAAGCATAAATATAATAGTAAATTTAAATTAGTAGATCTAAAAGTAAAAAAAAACATATTAATATAAATATAAATAATGAAGTCAATTGTAATAATTTAATGTTTTTGGCTTGCAGCGGATTTGCGACCATTAATTAATTAGATCTAGATCTAGCTAGATATCTAGCTGCTAGGCCAAGTAAAAAAAAATCTAGATTACGAAAATAGTAAAAATGATTACAAAATGTAAAAATGATTACAAAAATAAATCTATCCAAATTTTAAACATTCTGTATGAAAACAAAAGATGACGCCAAATAAAGTATGGTTTACAGTACTTCCGGTGAATTCCGGTAGTGTGTGACAGACTTTGGCATTGTTTTACTGTTTTTTACTGCTATACGATTCCAGAATAATAACCGACGCTAAACTAAGGTTTTACCCAGCAAAGAAAGACAATCAGTTCTTTAAAGGGAGGTGATAAAAGTTTTTTTTTTTTTCGTTTTTTTTTAAAGTTTCCAAACCAAAATTAAATTCAATGGATGATACGACCGAATTTGTATGTGTTATTAAAAATATAACGTTATCAATTAAATAACTACATTTAAATATACATTTACATATTGAGATACAATATTCAACAGATTGGGAATTTCCGTTTTTAACTGTAGCTGTGTGTAAAGTAGGCTAAGGCTAAGGTCTGTCTTTTCTAATCTTGAAATCAAAATTTTCGAGCAAAAATAAAAAAAAAAAATCAAATAGTGTAAGCTTTGATTGTGTAATACAGTTCAGTGTGTTTCAATGAGATGTAATGACCATCTTAGTCTATTAAAACGATTGCAGGCTGATTCGCATCATAAAAGGAATATGTTGTGTCACCTGATAACTAATCGTAGACACTAGACACATTGAATTTTGTGTCAGTTCCCAAAACTGGGCCACACCCAAAGAATTTAAATTCTTATGTGGTTCATGTGTAGCTTTGCTGCCTAGAAGTAGTAGAAGGTATGTCGTTTATTTTAAAGATAAAAATAGTGTTAAAATGTTAAAATGTATTATTACATTTTTTCTGGGATTCTAAAAATGTAGACTATGACGTCACTTATTATTTATAGCCTTACTTAAAACCCGGCTCAATATAGCTATGGCTGGACATCGTGATTTCAAAATGGATCAAATTTATTTGAGATGTATAACAACTAACGCTTTACTCTCTATGATAGTTAGTTACGTATTATTAGCTTCAAGTAGCTAATAGAGGGCATATAAACAACCGCATTAATTCAGGGAAAAACCTGAAATTGCCTTCAATTTTAAATCGCGTATGTTTTAGCCATCCTGGCATATGGTATATATAAATTTTATACTGATATAAATTATGGGCCATATTTGAATTAATTTAACATAAGTAATTTAACCTATGTGAATTGATATTTTTAATTTGCTTATACTTAGGTTTAGTGCCTGGACTGTATAATAGAGTAGATAATATTAATAATAGACTAATAAAACAAAACTAAAAACCTATATTGGAATTGCTTTGAAACTGCAAATTACAACAGATGATCAAACATCTCTGCTGAGTTATAATTAATATGTTATTAGTTTTACCTTTTGGGTGCTTTTTCTTTATGGTGTTGTTTTTATATTCGAAGTTCTTATAAAATATTGTTACCAAAAAAACCTAACATTTTTAATTTTAATAATGTAAGTAACAAGTATAGGCCTTCATCATATATATATATATATATATATATATATATATATATATATATATATATATATATATATATATATACTTTGTACATTCCTGAATATATAATATTATATTATATCTCCCCATAGACCCCTCGATATATATATAAAGTATGAGGGGGGGGGTGCAAATCGAAAGCTTGTCCCCTGGTAAAAATTGGACCCCCCCCCCTTGAGACGATCCTGGCAACGCCACTGATGATGCGTATATCTAGACCTGCTTAATAACGATCTCTATTACACTTTTATGTATTCTGTTTGACGAATAGATCCTTAGCACTGGTTTATATTTGACTATTATTTAGATGTGAGCAACTAGATAAATTATCCACAAACGATTCTATTTCATTTTGACGGAATCATTTGTCGAAATTCCCGTAGGAGGAAGAAGTAAATGTTCCGTTTATCTTCAATATAGCACACACCATGGCTGAAGCAGTTGACGAGGAGTGTGAAGATCAAGGACTAGGTAAATGTTATTGTTATAATCGTGTTTTGTCAAATTGTAATAATACAAAGATTATTATTTATAGCCTATGTTTGTAGGCCTATATAATATGTAACCCTTATAAAAGACATATAGGCCCATATATGTATATAATAAAGTTATATGTGTAAAGTTTTGTTTAGGTTATACATAGTATCTCTCTCTTTCTCTCTCTCTCTCTCTCTCTTTCTGTATATATAGGATATATATATATATATATATATATATATATATATATATATATATATATATATATATATATATATATAAGATAGATTGTTTATGTTTTTAATGACACAGAATCTGCTAAACTGAGCCAACAAGAAGTAGAAAGACTTCGACAGTTTGCAAGTATTGAACAAGGTAACGTATTACAAAATAACTTATTTTATTACAAGAGCAGATTCGGTGAAATGCTGATGATAACATGATACCACATTTTAAAGAACAACAGTTGAAACAGTTTAAAAATAAAAGTAACTGTGGTTGTTGATTCCTAGAATCATATTTACTAATTAAATCTGATCAATATGTTACCCGTGGATTGGAAAAAAAACATGAATGCTATAAAATGTTAATTTAATTCTCCGTTGACTTTGATTATTTTTAATCCTATTTTAGGGCCCTTCGAGCAAGAGATTAGCTACGAAAGCGATGGCAAAATGAACCAGCAGTGGGAAATCTGCCAGAAAAATCCTGGTCACCCGGGTTTCATCCCCATCAATTCTTTCAAGATCGATCACCTACCTGAAGGCTACAGGGATCAGACTATCTATAAACTGCTGAAAGCTTTAGGCGAACTGACGGTTAAGATCCAGGTGGCCCATATCAGCCCAGACAGACCCGAGTCTATGAACGGAACAAAGTTCCCTTGCTTCAAAACATGCGAGAGATCCGCTTGGATGACCCGCTGCGGAACCGGGCGAGTCTGGGGCGTGGAGGAAATGTCAGGGGCGTGTCCTTGTTTCCCCTGTCAACGTTCTCCCAGCCCTAGGGAAGAGTGGGGGAAGGTGAATGTGTTAACGGCCATGCATCTGGTGTATGATAAAAGCGAGGGGGTGAGGACGGTATGCATCTGGGGCTACGATAACGCGGACAGCAAAAAGGAGATGTTTGACGGTGTAGGGTGTTACAAAACCAGTTTTGACCAGGACATGTGCTATGTGGAGTGCATCACACATAACGTCAAATTGGTGAGGAAGTTGAGGTTGCTTTTAGAGGATTATCAAGCCAAATGTCAAGTTGTCAGAGACAAGTACGCCAATGATGCCAGCGCTAAATTGACGGTGATTGTTTCCCATCCTCACGGTCGTGAAAAGTACATCACGGTAGGGAACTGGGTGGAGAAGGAGGTCAAGATGAATGGGGACACCAAGTACTTCTACACCACGGACACCTGCCAGGGGTGCAGTGGCGCCCCCGTGTATGTGCTGGGGAAGAAGGAAGGCTGGTGGTTGACGCACCGCCACAGCGGGGTGGAGCCGCCCTACAACGTCAGTGGTATAGGCTGGTTGTGATTGGATGGCTTGCAGAGGTCATAAGGAGATTCTCAGCAGGGAGACTAAGTTGTAACTCAGTTGACATCATTAAAATCTAAAGGAATATAAATGTCTCACCTATTTAAATAAATAAAAAAAATACATTCACTCTGGTATTGTTAGTGTTAAGGCAGTAAGTTAAACAGGTTCTGATTTGATCAGCTAAAGCATTTGGTTGTGGATAAGTTTCTTTATTACTTGCATCAATTCGATTCAATTGTTCTAGGTCATTGTTTGTCGAGGTGCTATATTTAAACCTCTGCATATTTGATCTTAGAATTTGTGAATGTAAATCAATTATACTCAAAAAACGTTGGCCATTGGCAAAATACGCATTTTCACGGTTGTTATTTCTGTAATAGCTTTAAAAATACTGTATATATTTTGATGTGATATATTTTATCTGAGAAATTTTGTCTGAGATGATTTGTCATGGTACCAATGTAATAAACATGTCATCATTCATCATTTGTTGTGTCACTTTTTGATGTGCAGATGTATCTAAAATTTGACCAAATTTTATTTTCTACCTGTTTTAAAACATCGTTTATATAAATCTAAGCAAAAAACTTAACTAAAGATGATACAATTTGAACAATGCATTTTTAATTGATTTCCCTGGAATCAACTATTGCTCCAATTCGTGTTCAGATCAAAGCTTTAACCACGACACAATTCTTGTTACATCATGTTATTTAACTATCTACTGACAATACAACTAGAAGCAACAAGTTATAACCATGTACGACTACTGATACTACCACCAGTTATAGATCCACTATGTATAGCCCACCATCCATACTGTTTTCTAGCATATATACTGGTGCGCAACTGCAGCTATTGGAAGTTGGTGAATCATAGGTGTACCTGGTATCTTCATTTGGTAATTTATCACTTGTTAGTATTTTACCAATGGAGACATGTTTGGCACAACCATGAGGATGTGAAACTAAGATAATTAAGCTTTTATCAGGTCCATGTTTACATTTTTCATAAATTTGGGAACACAGTGATGTGTGGCTGTCTAGTGTGTTCTATAACTTCTGTAGTAGACTAACGCGATGTGTAACACATTCAAATAAACACATCATACACAAGAGCTGTTTGTCTGATGTCAACACATTATTATGATGATCCCATAAACATGTTGTATTCAACATGCTTAGCAGAAAGAATAAAAACTGTCCCCCAATTCGTAGTAACAGTTTTTTACGTGGTTCGCAGAGACACTTTTCATCCAAATCCTCTGGGTAAAAACTGATGGAATCAGTGGCGTAGCGAGGTCGGATGTCACCCGGTGCGGCACTTAATGGTGTAACCCCCCCCCCCCCCTCCCCCAGAGGCGTAGCGATCCTTCCCGGGGACAAACTTTCAAACTTTCGATTTGCAGCCCCCCCCCCCCTCCTCAAGTTTTTCTCTATATATTTTGCTATTTTTTTGCCTTGGTGTCACCCCCCTAAATGGTGTCACCCGGTTCGGTCCGCACCCCCCCCCCCTCGCTACGCCTCTGGATGGAATATATCTTGCCTGTCCCTGATCAAGACGGTGACAAATCTGTACTTAGGGTCAGTGTTTCTCCCAGATTTTTATGCTCCGCCGGGGATGGGGGGGGGGGGGGCAATGTTAAAAGTTTCTATTTTCTATATAAATTCCATTTTGTTCGGGGGGGGGTGGAAACGCTGCTTAGGGTAGGGCTTACCATTGTAACTGTCTGGTCTATCTTTACTCGCACAGTTTACTAGTATCTTAACAGTGAGAAAACTTCAGTTAGACAACAGTGACAATTTCTGCGTCTTTAAAGTGACTAGGGAGATGGTCAATGAGACGGTCAGCCTTGGAGGTGCTGATGGGTTTAAAATCTGCTTGGTCAGGACTCTGCTTGCACGATATACACAGCAGAGTTGAAAACATTTCCGTATAAGTTTATCATTAGTAACACAAGTATATACTTCATGTTTGTGTTAAGTTAAACAGCCGTTAGCACTGATCATATTATACTATACCAGGGTCTCCAAACTTTTCAGTCCGAGGGCCGCATTAACTATCAAATTTTAGTTCGGGGGCCAGTTTCTTCCAGGCATGTCTTTGATTTTTCTGGGTAGAGTTCCTCAGCCATCACCAACAAACGATTTTTCCTCGGACAAAAAAATCTCCGCGGGCCGGATTAGAGGACTTCGCGGGTCGCATCCGGCCCGCGGGCCGTAGTTTTGAGACCCCTGTACTATACAAGTAATACGCCTACGCAATAAAAATATACAAGTAACCTAGATCTAGGCCCATATACTATGCCCTACTATATAGCCTAGATAATTATTCAAGTGTAAAAATCACACATTTCGTTCAAATCACTTCACACAGTTTGTTTTAGGCCAATAACATGACAAAATCACAAGAAACACACTTAATGTATCACCATTTTACTGTAGGCCTAAACGAATTTAGATATCAGCTGACACAATTTGAATAAAACAAGGTCAAGGTGTGTTGACGTTGTGTAACTCGTCACTTGGTTACATGAACGGTGTGCTGTGTTTAACCATATACTATAAAGCTGACACAAGTTGAATAAAACAAGGTCAAGGTGTGTTGACGTTGTGTAACTCTTCACTTGGTTACGTGAACGGTGTGCTGTGTTTAAACAGATACTATAAAGTTGACACAAGTTGAATAAAACAAGGTCAAGGTGTGTTGACGTTGTGTAACTCTTCACTTGGTTACGTGAACGGTGTGCTGTGTTTAACCAGACACTACACAGCTGACAACACGATTCACTGGTCTTTACTTCATATCTGAAATCACATATTGTGCAGTTATAACTGTGTTTCTAATTGGATCTAGATCTTGTACTATTGTGTTTACTTTTCACAATTCTGAGTAAATCATACCTGTTTTTAAAATGTTGTTTATATTTCATTGATTTTAATTTGGATGAAATTGCCAGTGTGAATACCCGGTATGTCTTTCTTCCATTACATGTTCAAAATCAGTAGACCTACATATTATATGAGGTACTTGTACCTATGATTAAGAAGAATACGGTAGATTTAGAGCTGATAAAGATAGGGCGTTAATTAATAAACGACACATAAAAATTGATGTTATTAGTAAAGTAGTGAACTAAGAACTACCCAAGTACCAAAATAGTTTGCAACCTATAATAATAATCAGGAGTAGTCTATAAGTGATGTATTATAAGACGAGTTTTTTTTTTACAGTTATCGTTAGTTACACCCCTCCTACACGCCTTATACACACACATTAAATAAAACAATTAAAACATGTGTTTTTTTTTATCTTTTAATTTCTTTGTAAAATACACAGAAGAAAATACACAATCTACGTAGCTACCCCTCCCGGCGCCCGGGGACAAACTTTTCGATTTGCACCCCCCCCCCCCCTCTCAAACATTTTCGATTTCCACCCCCCTCAATCTTTCAATTTATTTTTCCATTCTATTTTGGCGCCCCCTAAGGTCGGCGCCCGGGGACATATGCCCCCCCCCCCCCGCTACGCTACTGCACTTACCACAATCTATCGTTAGCCATAACTCTTCCCCCTATAACTATGAGAGAGAACGTGCTTTTTGTCACACCTACTTCAGTGTACCTTCCTAGAATAAGAATAACAAGCCGCAAGAGGTGTATGTGTACTGTAAAACATATTATTTTTAGTCTCTCAAAAAGTAACAAAATCACTATTTATCATTGTAAGTTTTGATAGACTAATATAAGCAAAACAGTATGTCGATTGTGTATTATGCACATATTTATGTTGTGTTTACAGAGGTAATGTCAGCAGTAAATGTTAACAGCTTGACAGACAAGGCCAAGGTGGAAACAGGTAAGACATTTAACTAATATAATATAACAAGCAGCTTGGGCAGATAATGATATGGATAGGGAAAGATATATAACGGGCAGTTTTTTTTTAAATTTTTCTATTCATCCGTTTATAGGGTTAGTTTTGTAAGGTAACTTCTCAATATTGACGTTATCAGATTATTGTTTATTAAACTAATTGATACACGTTTTAATTTCAGGACCTTTTGAGTTAGAGTTTAGCTATGAAACCAGTGGGCTCAACAAAGAGACTGGTGCGTACGTCAAAGAAGACGGTGGGATCGCCAAGTATTTATGGGACAAATGTGCTAAAAACCCAGGACATAAAGACTTTATCCCCATCGATGAGTTTAACCTGGATCGTCTCCCTGATGGATACAAGGAGCAGGATATATACGAGCTGGTCAAAACACTGAGCGAGTTGACGGTCAGTATATCAGTGAGCTATGCAAGTCCAGCCAGACCTGAGAAGTTGAACGATTCCACGTACCCGTGTTTTAGTGACGAGACTAGATACTTAACACGCTGCGGGACTGGGAGGGTCTGGGATGCTGTCAAAGTTGAAAACGAGATTTGCCCCTGTGAGACATGCAAGACTTCTACACAGCCTTGCTTGACCTGGGCTAAAATCGGCATTTTAACGGCCATGCATGTTATATATGATGAAAGCGAAGTAAAAAGTTCAAAGTTTGAGCTTGGATACAACAAAGACGATAAAAATGACGATAAGTATCATCTACTAGAAGGGTACAAAGTGTATAAGACTGAGGTCGAACAGGATATGTGCTACTTGTATAGCGCATCACACTGTGTTGAACTGGTTGATAGTTTGAAAGCTCATCTTGACGACTTTCAGGAGAGATGTGCCGCTGTCAACAAAAAATACAGTAGAGACAGCAACATGAAGCTAACAGCGATCGTGTCCCACCCCCACGGGTACTTCAAGCACGTGACCCTGGGGGTGTGGGTGGAGCGGGTGCTGAAGAGGAACAACAACACCAAGTATAAATATACGACGGCGACGTGTCCGGGCTGCAGCGGTGCTCCGGTATACGTCGTCGGTAGAGACAAAGGCTGGTGGCTGACACATCACCACAGTGGCACAGAACCCCCGCTTAACGTCAGTGGTATAGGCTGGTTGTAGCGGTGCTCCGGTATACGTCGTCGGTAGAGACAAAGGCTGGTGGCTGACACATCACCACAGTGGCACAGAGCCCCCACTTAACGTCAGTGGTATAGGCTGGTTGTAGCGGTGCTCCGGTATACGTCGTCGGTAGAGACAAAGGCTGGTGGCTGACACATCACCACAGTGGCACAGAGCCCCCACTTAACGTCAGTGGTATAGGCTGGTTGTAGCGGTGCTCCGGTATACGTCGTCGGTAGAGACAAAGGATGGTGGCTGACCCATCACCACAGTGGCACAGAGCCCCCGCTTAACGTCAGTGGTATAGGGTGGCTGTGAAACATAGACTTTTTTCACATACATAGATAAACTTATCGTGAATGTTAGTGCAAACTTTATCGTCAGAACAAAGGTCGGTTCTAGACTGTCCTGGATGTGTTAGTGCCTGATGAGGGTTAATCTGTGAAGTGAGCATTTCGAGGCATATTGTAGTCTATTTCATGCCCAACTACCATTACAGATCGACACATTTGAAATCATCCTATCATCCGCTTGACTACGCCCTTGCTACTGTTCATTTTTCCCCCCATTTTTTATGATTTTTTTCTTATACAATAGGTTTATATGACTCTAGCTGTATTAATGATTTGTTCTATATTTATGCAAATTTATGAGTGTTGAATGAGGATCAGTATTGAAACCTAAGTGTGTTGATGTGTTGCTGAATTTTGTTAGTTTCAATTTCTTCGTCCTTCTAGTGTTGGAAGGGATTCCCTCAAACACAATATTATTAGATTTAACTGTAAGTATAGTATGTTGTTTTGAGCTTCAAGTACAAGTGTATTATATTTTTATATTGTGTATGAACGTTTCTGCTGTTGTGTATTATGACGTTGTATTTTGTGTATGAGTTTAGATAGACGCGTATAGGTGTGTTGTGTGTTTCGGAAATTTTCAAGTAGGCCCTACGTGAGTAAAAGCAATGCGTTCTTTAACTATATAGCGCTGATATAAAAAAAGGTTGTGTGTTAATATTCTGAGTATATCTTTAAATAAGCTTTAAAATATGTGACTACATTGATTGTTACAACTTTGACTCTTGAAAATATGGACCAGTAACTGTAACATTAAACTGACCCCATTTCAAGTGGGATCGGAAAACCAAAGGCGACTATCAGTTGTCTAACCGTTACTTCATGTTTGTTTGTTTGTTTGTTTGTTTGTTTGTTTGTTTGTTTGTCTTATGACGTGTCACTCACCCCTAGTGTCGTTGTTTGCTCATTCCCCCCCCCCCCCCAATCCCCCCTGTAATCTCTTATTGTCACACTCGTTCTAGTCATTGTCACTCAATGATGTCACTCTGTCATGTCACTCAGTCATTTCGCTCAGTCATGTTACTCAGTCATGTCACTCACTCATGTCACTCAGTCATGTCACTCAGTCATGTCACTCTGTCATGTCACTCAGTCTTGTCACTCAGTCATGTCACTCAGTCATGTCACTCAGTCATGTCACTCAGTCATGTCACTCAGTTACTCAGTCATGTCACTCAGTCATGTCACTCAGTCATGTCACTCAGTTACTCAGTCATGTCACTCAGTTATGTCACTCAGTCATGTCACTCAGTTACTCATTCATGTTACTCTGTCATGTCACTCAGTTATGTCACTCAGTCTTGTCACTATGTTACTCATTCATGTCACTCAATCATGTCACTCTGTCATGTCATTCAGTCATGTCAATCAGTCATGTCACTCAGTTATGTCACTCAGTCATGTCACTCAGTCATGTCACTCAGTCATGTCACTCAGTCATGTCACTCAGTTACTCAGTCATGTCACTCAGTTACTCAGTCATGTCACTCAGTTACTCAGTCATGTCACTCAGTTACTCAGTCATGTCACTCAGTCATGTCACTCAGTCATGTTACTCAGTCATGTTACTCAGTCATGTCACTCAGTCTTGTCACTCAGTCATGTCACTCAGTCATGTCACTCAGTCATGTCACTCAGTCATGTCACTCAGTTACTCAGTCATGTCACTCAGTCATGTCACTCAGTCATGTCACTCAGTTACTCAGTCATGTCACTCAGTTATGTCACTCAGTCATGTCACTCAGTTACTCATTCATGTTACTCTGTCATGTCACTCAGTTATGTCACTCAGTCTTGTCACTATGTTACTCATTCATGTCACTCAATCATGTCACTCTGTCATGTCATTCAGTCATGTCAATCAGTCATGTCACTCAGTTATGTCACTCAGTCATGTCACTCAGTCATGTCACTCAGTCATGTCACTCAGTCATGTCACTCAGTTACTCAGTCATGTCACTCAGTTACTCAGTCATGTCACTCAGTTACTCAGTCATGTCACTCAGTTACTCAGTCATGTCACTCAGTCATGTCACTCAGTCATGTCACTCAGTCATGTTACTCAGTCATGTCACTCAGTTACTCAGTCATGTCACTCAGTTACTCAGTCATGTCACTCAGTTACTCAGTCATGTCACTCAGTCATGTCACTCAGTCATGTCACTCAGTCATGTCACTCAGTCATGTCACTCAGTCATGTCACTCAGTCATGTCACTCAGTCATGTCACTCAGTCATGTCACTCAGTCATGTCACTCAGTCATGTCACTCAGTCATGTCACTCAGTCATGTCACTCAGTCATGTCGCTCTGTTTTGTCACATCACAACTCAGGACCACTTGGTCTTGTTACTGGAAACAGGACGCCCCACCCTCCACCCCTGTCCATCACCCAACGGACATTCCACCCCCTCCCCCAGTCAATACACCCAGGAGCCATTTGCCCCTGTTACACACCCCCTGTCAATTACCCCCCGCCCAGTAGAACCTTACCCCCGGTCGTTTAGAGATATATGTGATATGGGTAGATTAAGGTTAAGTTAGGGTTATGACTGGGGCTAAGGTTAGAGCTAAGGCTAGAGTTAGGGTTAGGCTTAAGTTGACTGGGGCTAAGGTTAGGGCTAAGGCTAGAGTTAGGGTTAGGCTTAATTTTAGTCTTATGTTTATTTAGGGTTGGGGCTGAGTTTAGTTTTAGGCTAATGCTTAGGCTTTGTCTTTAGGTCAGAGCTAGGTTTATGGTAAGGTTTGAGTTTAATTTAATGTTTAAGCTTCGGTTTAAGTGTAGGGTTAGATATAGGTTTGAAGTTAGTGTTAGCTATAGTTTTAAAGATGGGGTTTGGGGTTTTGGTTAGAGGCGGGGTACTTAAGCTTGGTGGAGGGGGTAATTGACGGGGATGGGGGGCTAATGTCCTATCACATAACAACCCCAAAACCTGTGATATCCCAACTGACACACTCTGTATTTAACTACCAACGAACACACAACACATTTACACAGCCAAGTTCTCCACAAGTACCGCACGTTACCCAAGACAAAGTCTACAACAAACTTCTAAATATAACGATACCAATACTACACTGAATGGGAGGTAATCAATAACTAAATAGATCATAGGAGTCTAGAAACCGTCCCTTTAAGATGTCTGTTTAGTGTATTGCCTGGACTTATAATTATATTCCTCGACATTATACAGCCAGTATATAGGGCCATTGATTTACACAAGGGTAGTATAGGGCCATTCATTTACACAAGGTTAGTATAGGGCCATTGATTTACACAAGGGTAGTATAGGGTAATTCATTTACACAAGGGTAGTATAGAGACATTCATTTACACAAGATTAGTATAGGGCAATTCATTTACACAAGGGAAGCTACTAATGGGTTTTTGTTGCAAAAAATGAAGTTAATAATAGCCCAACTATGAAGCGGACTCGTGTGTCTCGGGCACAAAAATGAAAAGGTTCGTGTATTCAACACAGTGTCAATCTGTTGTTGTTTTTATTCCGCCTAGCATTTAAAGTCGCTATCTGGAAAACAAAACATAAGGTAACTCGATACAGCATGCAAATTATCGTTAACAAGAGTTACCGTTCGTTCTATAGACAGGCAGTTGCACATCAAAAGCTGGATAGACCTTTGATTTCAAGCTGCACTTGTTAAATAACTGTGTTTACACAAGGAACAAAAAAAGCTCAAGTTCAAAAAAGGCAAGTGATGCAAGCAATATAGAAATGATTACTCTAAATACCCAATGGTGATAAAAGACTATCAATAAAAACAAAAAAAATATGTCAGGTGTTTAGATTACTGATTGAAGACAATCACACAAAGAACACCAATGCACTTTTCAAGTAAAGTTTACACATAATAATAAAACAGGCGTAAGCTGGGTATAACAAACACGAAGTATGACATTGTGGGTGGGGCGTTTAGGGGAGTTAGGACATCAGTGGGTGGGGCGTGTAAGACATCAGTAGGTGGGGCGTGTAAGACATCAGTGGGTGGGGCGTGTAAGACATCAGTGGGTGGGGCGTGTAAGCCATCAGTGGGTGGGGCGTGTAAGACATCAGTGGGTGGGGCGTGTAAGACATCAGTGGGTGGGGCGTGTAAGACATCAGTGGGTGGGGCGTGTAAGACATCAGTGGGTGGGGCGTCTAGGGGATTTAGGACATCAGTGTGTGAGGCGTGTAGGGAATTAGGACATCAGTGGGTGGGGCGTGTAATATATATATATATATATATATATATATATATATATATATATATATATATATATATATATATATATATATATATATATATATATATATATCATATATCATATATATTATACCATACGCGCAGACTCTTTTAAATTTTGAGCCCCTTCCCCTACAGTAGGGGAATAAGGCTGTTTTCTCCATATAAAAAATATCAAACAGTTGTATGACTAACTTAAACACCAATTTCGTAGCCAGCTTTCACGGGAATTGCCGTCTCAGCGCCTACCTAATGAAATTATGTTAGGGCATGGGTCGGCAACCTTTTGAGACGGAAGAGCCAAAAGTTACAATCTTTATATATAATTCTCTTCTTGGAGACGCTAGAAAACAAGCAGTAAGCGCGCTCTCAATCCCCCCCCCCCCACCCCTACATGGTCTGGTGAGCTGTGGTTCACGCTAAATGCTTACAATCGTAGAGCCGGGTTCAGTGACGGCTATTAGGGGCAGAAAATTTAGTTTGAAACGATTTTTAACGAAGAGGAGGCTGCTTTCACTGTGGCGGGGGGGGGGGGGGGGGAGGGGTTGGGGAAAGGAGGGGGGGGGGGGTTATTGTCCTTAACGAGATACTGATAGTGTTTTAAAGCAAATATATTCAGTGGCAGCATTGGTACAGTCGAATTCACAAATTATTAATTACTGAAAAGTAGAAAATAAAACAACCAAATAGCGGCGTATGATACGCCGCGGGTCGGCTCATTTTCAAAATTTCCCAATTTTTAAAGAGCCCCATTTTTATTTCAATATTTTATTACATATTAGGACTTAGTAAATAATTGTGATTTGTTATTTAAAATAAATTGTTTTAAATATGAAATAATATTTATTCCTATACAACCATAGACATGTTTCGCCAGAATAATCAAATAATATAACTATGGGACTATCCTAATAGTCTTTAGAAGCTGTTAAATTTTTTTCTTTCTTTACGGACATCACCGGCTCAGGAGGTCTCTGCCATTAGCCAGGTGGGCCTCAGGGCGGCTAACCTCGACTAACTGGTTTGAATATCGGTTTGATAACAGTGTATCGGACGCCTCTGTCCTTTGGCTCTCACCGGGATTATCCCCCCCCCCCCACCCCTCAATGAACACAGGTTACTCGTGCCCCACCGTCCAGTGCCCGGCTCAGCAGTAGGAAGCTAATAGCTAAAAAAAAAAAAACAAACTACGTCACTCACGTCAAATTAATGTATACTGACAGACAGTGGCGTAGCGAGGTCGGGTGTCACCCGGTGCGGCACTTAATGGTGTCACCCCTCAGAGGCATAGCGACCCTTCCCGGGGACAAACTTTCAAGTTTTCGATTTGCACCCCCCCCCCCTTCAAGCTTTCGATTTGCACCCCCCCCCCCTTCAAACTTTCGATTTGCACCCCCCTCCAAGTTTTTCTCTATATATTTTGCTATTTTTTGCCTTGGTGTCACCCCCCTAAATGGTGTCACCCGGTGCGGTCCGCACCCCCCGCCCCCCCTCGCTACGCCCCTGCTGACAGACAGAGTAATGCATTAATAACATTCCCCATTTAAAA